GAACCGCTCCACCGCCTCCCCCTTTACCCCTTATCTTTCTTTATTTTTACTTCTCGGTCACTTGGAGAACCTATTTAAAGACTTCTCACCTTTTACTCTTTGACTTGTTGGTCATCCTTTTCTCCCTTTATTGCTTTTCTTCCCTCTTATCGTTAGTTCAGTACTTGCATTTTGTCATCTGTACCGCCCACCTCTGCTCTTTACAGCAAATTATGCTTTCCTCTGTCCGTGCACAGGTCTTTGGGAAGGGGTTTTAATGACAGTTTGTTACAGCTTTTTCACGATTCAGACCTGAGTGTGCTGTTTCTTACTGAGCAGTCTCTTCGGTCTCTCCTGTAGAGTATGAGTATTGGGAAGCTCTGTTTTCCAGAAGTCCACAAATTCTCTGGCTTTCAAGATACATGTACACTCTGCATGCTTCAAGCACCCTGTTGAGGCGCCGCGTAATTCCTAAACTTGGCCCAGCTTCCTGACTTGCGTGCTATTTTGTTGATAGTGATCTTGCGTAGCGTATGATTGCTCAGGATTTTTCAGTACCTTCCTGAAATGACTGAATCTTGCGCAGCAAAGCCCGCTGCGAGCTACGGAGCGGTTCCTACTGCCGGACTTACCAACTGGACCTGGCTAGCTCTGCGCTTCAGCGGGCGGAGGAGCTGCCAGCTGCGCGGCTCGCTGCGGCCCTTTGCTCTAAGACTCGAGAGAGCGTGGAAGCTGTCAGGAAAGAGCGTATTGAAAGGGTTGAGCAGTGATACCGTCCCTTCCGGAGCTGTTTGGGTCCATAGAAAAATAACCGGTACGCGTCACGGAAAACTTCTAGCGAGAACCTTAAAGCTAATGAAGGTCACCAGAAGGGGACCTTTAGTTGCCCATCCTGCTGCTTGATTCACGTGAGCTCAGCTGTCGCTGTGGCATCCCACGGGCTGTAAACGGGCTATAGGCGTCCCCTAAAAAGGTGACCTTTCTGACAGGAGGTGAGGTCAGCCCATGACCCGGGCTTGCGGATGTCATACGGCTTTGCGCAGCCCTGTTGCCTGTTAGCACATCACGGCGTTGGGCCGTGGTTCACAGTAAAGGGCTGCGCTGGGACAACCTCCTCAGCGTACACAGGAAAGAGCCCTGTAAACGCCTTAGAAATAGAGCAGTGAAAGGGAAGGTTTATTACTATTGAGAGACAACCTGAAGATTTGGGTCACTGGGTGCTCCTCGTTCGTTTTGTTGGTGCTCGTAGTTGATTTACCTGGTGCAGAGGGACAAGTTTTTGCACTACAATGTGAGCGTTTGTATTTCAGCGGTAGTTACAGCATGCGGAGCAAACTAGGGAAAAGGAAGGACCTGAAGCAGCTGGAGGGCACTGGTCTATTTTGAGGCTCAGAACAGTAGGATGCGTTCACCATACTGTGGGGATTGTCATTCTGCAAAGCAGGGAGATGGTAGAAGGATTATGAGATTACAGAGAAAAGGAAGGGAAGGACTGTGAAATAACGGATAGGGTTTTTTTAATCTTCTGTTATGGTCTTTTTTTATTATACAAGCTCTGTCAGGCAGCACATTTATATCCTTCACCCTTTTACACATTATAATATTACCACACCTTTTACACAATCCTTTTTGAAGCTCTAAAAATGAAAAAAAAAAAATTGGCTCCTGCATCTTGGTTAGCAGAGATAGTAGCTGTCTTCACAGTGTGTGTACAGTGACTATGCCGTTGGCTTCCAGACAGGCGTTCGAAGTGCAGGGTGTTATTCTGGAGGCAACCAAGTGCGCTGGTGGCAGATTTTTCTCGTGAGCCTCAGCCCTTTGGAGCCAACAATGCTGGTAGGTACCTCAGAAGTTCCCAGTGCCAGGAGAGCCTTGCTGGAGCCATCAGCGTAGTTTCCACGGCCCAAGAGACATAGCAGAACGTGGGTGTCTTATGTCATACCTTGCTGCTTCTCTAATGTGGTCGTGGGAATGTTCACTAGGTATTGCAAGCGAAGTGCAGCTGGCAGACAAGGAGAATATAGAATCACAGAATTATTAAGGTTGGAAAAGACCTCTAAGATCATCAAGTCCAACTGTTAACCCAACACCACCATGCCCACTGAACCGTGTCCCCAAGTGCCACGTCCACACGTTTTTTGAACACCCCCAGTGATGGTAACTCCACCACCTCCCTGGGCAGCCTGTGCCAATGTATGACTGCTCTCTTTGTAAAGAAATTTTTCCTCATATCCAGTCTAAACCTCCCCTGGCACAACTTGAGGCCGTTTCCTCTCGGTCTGTCAGTGGTTACCTGGGAGAAGAGGCCAACCCCCACCTCGCCACAACCCCCTTTCAGGGAGTTCTAGAGAGCGAGGAGGGCTCCCCTCAGCCTCCTCTTCTCCAGACTGAACAACCCCAGTTCCCTCAGCTGCTCCTCGTAAGACTTGTGCTCCAGACCCTTCACCAGCTCCGTTGCCCTTCTCTGGACACGCTCCAGCACCTCAACGTCCTTCTTGCAGTGAGGGGCCCAAAACTGAACACAGGATTTGAGATGGTGTGCCTCAGGGCTTCAGAGGGGACTTCAGAACCAAGCATCTAAAGCTGCTTCAGGGTGTTTGGGAGGCACCTCGCAGTCGGTAATTCCCATGGCAGTGGACGGGTGTGAACGCTCCCTTGGCCAAGAGGTATTCTAGGGACCGCGCCGAACAGAGCTGGTGGTAGTTCAGACGGGTTTGCAAGTTAATATTTATTTTATTGTGTTTGTATGGTGGATTGTAGTGAGAAAAGTAAACAGAAAGCAAATATCAATAGTCCTGAATAATACGCTTTCACTGCCCAGCGCTTTGGAACTTGCAGCCTTCATGCTGTCGTGGGGTAAACCGCACCTCGGTCGCACGTACTGTATCGCCTTTGAAACTCCCACGTTTGCAGCTGCCCGAGTCCTTTAGGTCTCCTAGGAAATACCTAGATTTTGTGAACTAAATAGAACCTTATTAATTTCAGATCAAATTCAGTCTTTTAGCTTGAGTTAAAAAGCAGCTTTTTAAAAAAAAAGAAAAGTCTCAAAAAGAGATTATTGCAATTGAAAAGCATAATTGATTAATCCTCCAGTAATACATTTTTTCAGGATTAAGAATAATTTCGCTTGGTGTTAATAATATTCTTTTGAACCGATTTATGAGCTTCCCTTACCTTTATGTGTGTGGTTTTTGTCTTAATAATCCCCTTATATTAGTCACTGGAATTTTCATTTTCCACATATATTAAAAGAGTATCTCAAGGCAGGACTGAAAGGCACTTCTGCTTCGCCGTTAGGTGATATTAAAACGCCTTCCTTCTCCTGCGCTCCGAGCTTCTACCAAAGCCATCGCTGGGCACTGCGAGAAAGGAAAAGGGCCCGTGGCGTTTCTTTTTCCTTTTCCCGGCGCAGCGAAGGTGCGAGCCAGGTGAAACCTCCTCCTTGAGCCCTGCAGAACCACTAAGGCTGGAAAAAAACTTTAAAATCACCAAGTCCAACGGGGCTGGCTGCGACGGAGCCAAGGGCAGGGCGAGCTTCTACCAAAGCCATCGCTGGGCACTGCGAGAAAGGAAAAGGGCCCGTGGCGTTTCTTTTTCCTTTTCCCGGCGCAGCGAAGGTGCGAGCCAGGTGAAACCGCCTCCTTGAGCCCTGCAGAACCACTAAGGCTGGAAAAAAACTTTAAAATCACCAAGTCCAACGGGGCTGGCTGCGACGGAGCCAAGGGCAGGGACGAGCCTGGCGGCGGCGGTGGGCTGCAGCGTGGTTTTAGGGCTGTAAAGAGTATTCTGCCCGGAACAGGACTTAACCTTTGCTCTAACCTTCAGCTGGAGATGAGCTTTCTGGTTTTTGCAGACCGACTTAAATCATTAAACAACGGCTAGAGAGCGGAGGGAAAGAACGAGCCCCTTCATTTGGGTCTGTTGCGCTGGCGGCTCACTTGTTCTGCTAGGAACATCGTCCGATTTGCTTGGGGCGTGCTGCTCTCCTCCACCCTCTGCCCCGCGCCAGCCGCTGGGTATGGGGCAGTTCTACTCCCTGCCGCTGAGTTTTGGCAGTGGCTTAAATCTTCAAGTTTTATTGTCTGGATTTGAATACTCGAATACGAGTCCCCTTCTTCCCAGAAATGCTGATTTTGATTTTTATTTTTCCTGTGCCCCCATCCTCTTTCGGTGGAGCTGTGGTGCTCAGCCCTTCTCGGGGGTGATGAGTGAAGTGTGAAGGTGTTACCTTGACTTGCTCTCGGTCGGGTCTGGCGAAGCGGCGGCCGCGCGGTTGCGGTTGCCTCGATGTGGCGTTGGGTTAGGGACTGGGTGAGCAAACCGGGGAGGCAATGACCAGCTCTCAGCCGAGTCACTGAAGCTGCCTGTGTACTCTTGGCCAGGAGTAAACATCAGCTAAAGGGTGTTAAACAGTTTAAGTCTTGGTGAAAGCGATTAAAGATAACATGTTTTACCTCACATTTGCGACGGTTTACAAGCAGGCAGAGCATTATCGCCGCTCGGCTGACACATACCAGTTCATTAAGCCTTTGCAACTTGATCACGGGTTCGTGGCCTCGCAGCTGCGTGGGAAAATGCGTGCGCTTGAACTTGTCGGTGCGCCGCGACGGCTCAGCTGTCTCGCTTCTTGCAGAGGCGTGCGTCTGCACGGGGCCAACCGCTTCAACACGGTCTCGTTGCTCTGCTCTCTCGTAGGTGGATCAAGTTTGAGGAGAAGGTAGAACAAGGTGGGGAGCGATGGAGCAAACCTCACGTGGCCACCTTGTCCCTGCACAGCTTGTTCGAGTTGAGGACGTGTATAGAGAAAGGCTCAATAATGCTGGATATGGAGGCCTCTTCTCTCCCGCAGGTGGTGGGTAAGTAAAGCTGCCTTGGCTCCTTCCCTCAGCTCTTCCCTACAAATTCGTATTAACCCTGATGGTGGTGTCACTGACGGTTTTAACGAGAAAGCGCTGCTTTTTCTCTAAGTGGGGAAAATCGAGAAAGAATCCACCAAGGAATAACGGGGAAAACTAGAAAATACATGGAGGAGGAGAACAGATAAATGAGATGACTTCTCCACAATTCGCGAAGAAGAGCAGAAGAATCGACTTCAGTGATAACCAGTGCTTACCTTGAACTGTTTTTTGGTGATTTTGTAGAACCTTTTGGATCCTGAAGTACATCACCTAAGTTAGATCCCAAGACACCGCTGCGTGTGTGTGAAAGGAATGGCACACGCTCACTTAGTTCACGTTCTCTCCCAGAAACGTAGCGTGCAGAAGGCTGGCTCTGTCAGGGCAGAGACACCCGGCGGGTACCGCTCCGTGCAGAGCGACCGCAGGTTTTGGCCCGCGTGGTCAGGCCGCGGGCTGCGTTCGGACGCGGTCCCAGGGTGGGCGACGGAGGGCAGGCGGGGCTCTCCCCTCCCGCACAGGAGGGCGAAGAGCAGCCGCGGTACCAGCTGATGCTTCACTCTGCACAACGGGTTGGCAATTTTTTTGCAGTCAGACTAGCCGTGGCCTGGGATGACACTTGGTGACATTGCTGAGAGCTGTATCATGTTCCCCGTGACGTCTGAGCAGACGTACGAAAATAAATTTTAGAAGTGACCCGTCCAGTGGAGGTACACTTAACCAGTACGCTGAGTTTAGAAGCCTTTATTTAAAAAGTTGTAGAAGAACAAAATGAAATAAACCCCCCACAAATCTCAGTGCTTTGATTTATAATCTTGGGAACCAGGCTCAAAATTGTCCCGCAAGAAATTACCAAGTACCAGGTGTTGCATTAGTTTTGTAAGACTTGGAATTACAAAAACTGGCTGTGATGTTATCTGCAGAGTTTTGAGCTTAGTTTTGCAGGTGCTTAGGTCGGCATTTCTCTTCCTTTGGTTTCGTGTCTGTGTATCCAAATGTGCAGCTTTGCAAAGTTTAAAAGGAAAAAAAAAACCCTCTGAAGTTTTATGCTGAAGCTGAACGTGCTTCAGAAGGTAGCAGCTGATGTCAGCGGTCCAAACCTTTAACCCTCAAATACTAAATTTCCTTTTGAAGTCACTTTGAGATAGCACCTTCAGTATCCTTCTTCAAAGCCCAAATTAAATCTAATTCCTGGGAGACGAAATTACACATCGGTGGCTGCTGTTGCTGTAACACTGTCCTGAGTGGGGTATTTTTGCTGGTCCGCATCGTTAATCAGATAGGTAGGGATGTCCAAGAAGCCTGCAGACTTGGTTTCCAGAATTATTTAATCGTGACCGCTTGGTTGCTGTCACGCAGGAAGGAAGAACTCAGAGAGCTCTCTTTGTTGATGTGTGTTATATCAGAAACGCGGAAGGGAAGAGATGCTTGCCAGATGGAGAAGGATAAACTTGATGAAGACAGACGTGTTGTCCTGAAGGAAGTATACCAAAAATCACTAAGAAAAATTATGAGCGACAAAAGCTTACAGAAAAATGGCACTTTACAAAAAGAAAGCTTTTGCCAAACATTTCGTGGAGCCATACCTACATGCGTATAATCGTCCTTTCTGCGTTTGGGTGGAAGAACTAGGCTTCTTCCCTAGTGATTTGAAGGGCCATGAACACGGAGGAGGACTTTGTCTGACTCACCGAGTTAGCAAATGTGATGCGTGTTCTGCCTCCCCCCTCCCATAACTTTTATTATTAGCCCAAATAAAAGTTCCCGGTAGACAAATAAGAGCTGCCACTTTCCCTTGGGGGACAGCGCGTTAACTGAAGTAATCAAGGGAACAACTTAATGTGAGATTTAATGCACAGTAGAGATTCTTAATAAATCGGGCTACCTTTTTTTTTTCTTTCTCCTCTGGGATAGGGGAGCAGAAAGGGGAGCGCTGATGGAAAGTGAGCAGTCTCTGCAGCGGGCTGGCAGCCTCTTTGCCTGGTGATTCAGTTCAAGGCAAAGCTGCGTAATGCGTCCTGTGACAATTGGAGCAAGTTCTGCCTTTTGTAGTTGCCATCATTTCACTTCAGTTCTGAGAGTGAGTGATTTAATTAGTTACTCATCCCCAGGACTTTTTCCTATCATTAGATGAGTTTTTACTGGGGGCCTGCGAGGTGAACTCAGGCCTTGTTGAATCCAGTAGAAGTCTTACCATGGGTTTTTTGGGAGCGTACTGGAACTTGCAGCGTGGCTGTAGCTTCTTCACAAAAATACAGGGTGAGGGCAGATTCCCTTTCTGAACTGAGAACCATCTTATCCTGGGTACGGTTGATTTGAAATAGGCTCAGTGGCGTGTACGGAAGTAACAGAAGGGAGTCTCGGTGCAGTAGGTACGCGTCGGCGGCTGATGGGTTTTGCTGCGTGGAAATGCTTCTGTTTCATTTCCAAAGAAATGTCTGAAAGAGGTTCCCGTTAAAATGGCGAAATCAGGTGGTGGTTTTGAGGTGCGAGGGAAAGCCTTCAGAAAGGTAGGCTGGAAGTGATCCGTCCCTCTCCCCCTGCTCTCCCTCCACGCAGCTGAGTTTTGTGCGTTGTGATTAACCATCCTCTCCTCTCCCTCGCCCCTTTCTTTGCCTGCGACAGAAATGATCGTTGACAATCAGATCGAGACGGGGCTTTTGAAATCGGAACTGAAGGACAAAGTCACCTACACGCTGCTCAGGAAGCACCGGCACCAGACCAAGAAATCCAACCTGCGCTCCCTGGCTGACATTGGAAAGACCGTCTCCAGTGCAAGTAGGATGTTTACCAACCCCGATAATGGTAATGCAGAGGCTAACTGGCTATAGCCTTCCCTTTTCAAGCAACCCACCAAACTTGCCCGCCGACAACTAACTGCGTTGCCTTGACAATGCTTTCCTAACCCACGATTAGCGTAGCGAGACCCGTACTGATAGCACGTCAGTGGTGGGCTCTGAAGGCTGCTTTGGCCGTGGCACATCGCTCTAACCGTATCTTCACTGGACTGAGTGGGAGAGGAGGGGAGGTGGCAGGCAGGGAGCAGGAGGCACAGGGGAAGGCAGAGAGATGCGCTCGCAGCTGGCGCGTAGGAGATGGCGTAGGAACGACGATAGGAAAGAGAGATTTACAAAAAACTCCAAGCGTGCCTGAACCTACAAGGCCGATCATCTGAAAAGTTTGGGCAGAGACGAAGCGTTCGTGTGCGTTCAGTTTCCGTGGCAGATGGTGTCGGTGGCACTCTTAATCAAAAATTACGTGATAGTAACGCCTAGCTTGCACTTTATTGCCATGCAATCATTGTCCAGTGTGGGTAAAGCTGATTTCCATCTTGCTTTATTCATCCTAAAATTGTTCTGTGGTGTATATGTGAATGTAGCTCGCTCGCTCTCTAAGAACGGTGTAATAGATTGTGCCATGTTTATAGTGGTGTCTATAACCGTGTGGGCGCGCGTGGACGCAGGCAGCTACAGAGGCCTTGGCAGTGACTCTGTACGTACCCGTGCATTGAGGCTTGCTGTCTTCTTACTAGCGGTAATCAAAAAAGAGGAGGTTTAAGCCTATTGTCATGTCTTGGAGTTCTGTCAACTGCCTCCTGCTGCAGTCTGGAAATTTGTCTAAAAGTCGCTATTTTAAAATACCCAGAAATGAAAGCAAGCGAAGAGATAATATTCTCCTTGCTATGTTTAAGGCCTCTTAGCTTTCTGCGTTCTGCTTCTAAAACTCAGCCTAACGTTTCTCCCTAACCTATTGCCATACTTCATTAATATTTCCTACTTCTTATCATCCTTTGCTTTTGCAACAGGTGTGTATGTGCATGTGAAGAATATTTATTGCTCTTGATGATGCATCTTGTCATGTACGGGTGCCTTGATAACACAGTGATTAAGCGAATAACGCGAAGGCGCAGTGACGTGAGTCAAGGCAGTGTCCTGAGCGTGCAGCTTTTCGGTGAATGTCCCTGCAGGAGTCCAACGGAGCAGGGAGAGGGGCTGGGCTTTGGAAAGCACTGTAAAGAAATCCCAGTTCTGGGGAAGGAGCTCAGCGTGGCCAGATAAGGCGGTTGGTGCCTGCTGAAGACCGGGGAGCCTCTTCCAGAGCACACCGCAGGGAGGAGGAAGGTTCTCCTGGGCATCTCCAGGCTTTGCTTTTGGCCTGCAAATTCCCCCACGCCTTGAGCGGACACCTAGCTAATGGGGTAATACCCAGGGGTAGGAGTGCCTGCGGGGGGCCCGATCCGAGAGAGGTGTTGTTCAGGAGCTCTAGCTAAACTGTTGCTCCTCAAGCCCCCCTGCTCATTTCCCATTAGCCTCGGGCATGAAATCTGTAGGTGCCTCAGTGTTTTGCCCTTAAATCGGCCAGGCATCTCGCATCCCTGGAGGATGCCTCCGTTGCGGCAGGACTGGGCACCTGACGAGTCGCTCGCGTTTGTCTTCAGCTGGGATTAAGAAATCAGGTTCTTTGCAGCACATGCTCTAGGGCTTTCCATTGTGTCCTCCCCGCTGTTCGTATGGGAGGCACCTGCTTTCTCTGACAAGAAGAAAACGGCTGTTGCAGGTGAGATGCATAAGCGTTATTTGCATTGGTGTCTATAGGTAGCGGTTACCACCTCCATGACTACTGCTCTTTCTGGACCTTTGGTAAGATGAACAGGTTTGCTTTGAGGAGAAGGGTCCAGGACTGTGGCCACGCTGTACGGGAGGTAAAACATGAGGGACGCGTCTTCAGCACGCGTCGCCCTGTGCGGGGTGTGTAGGGGATGCCCTCCGTTCTTGGCTCCAGCCCCAAGCCCCTTTCCTGCGGGTAGGCGCTGCGACACCGAGGGTGACGGTAACGCGCAGAGGTGTTTCCAGGCTGGCTCACGGCACGCTTGTGATTCCGCAGTCAGACCTTACCACGCTCATATCGTGTGGGAGACGAGTGGTTAAACTCCTGGCTGTTTGGAGTGCCTCTGTGTTTGGGCAACGATACGCGTTTTTCCTCTCTTCTGGTTGACCAAATCATCAAGCTTAGTGTTTTATTCTGAGTGCCTGTCTCCGTGAGTTGCTAAGGTGTAAAAATGTAAAGGAATCCTTTAGGATAGACTGTATGGCATTGCTATGATTAGTGCCTCCTTCGGACACAACAAGAGTCTTACTGAAGGGGTTAAAATGGGCTCTGTTTACAGCTTCCACCTCTACATGGCATCTATTTTTACTGCACGGTATGCTTGTAACAGCCGCCTCTTTTTTTCAGCAGCTGGTGAATGGCAAATTCCTCATTTCTGCAGTTAAAGCCATTCCTTGAGGAGCCATCAAAACCTCAGGCTGTTAAAGGCAAATTAAAACTTGCTGAGGAGGTTTGAAGGTAAATGATGCACAGTGCTTTACTTAACGATACCTCAGACGGTAAGCCCGGTCTCTTCGCTGTACCGAGCTAGGCTTTCAGGGCTGGTTAAAGAGAAAATAATAGCATGCTTGTCCTGGGAGGATGATGCTGACAAAGGGTGTCTGTCTAAGTCCTTGCTCCAGCCCCTGCTTATTTTTCATGGCTAAGGGCATCCTTTACACAGACCCTAGGTGACTTGGGCTTTCATTAATTTCTTTTTCTTGTTTGAAGGGGCTGTGTGGGTCCTGTCTCAGATGGACTGATTCTCGAGAAATTCTTTCTTGGCTTCGCTTAGCCCGCTGGCTGACCTTCAGCCACACAGAATCACAGAATGATTAAGGTTGGAAAAGGCCTTTAAGATCATCAGGTCCAACCATCAGCCCAACACCACCGTGCCCACTAAACCATTCTCCGAAAGTGCCACGTCCACACGTCTTTTGAACACTCCCCGTGACGATGACTCCACCACCTCCCTGGGCAGCCTGTGCCAGTGTTTGACCGCTCTCTCAGTAAAGAGATTTTTCCATATATCCAGTCTAAACCTCCCCTGGCACAACTTGAGGCCATTTCCTCTCATCCTATCGCTAATTCCTTGGGAGACCAACCCCCACCTCACCACAACCCCCTTTCAGGTAGTTGCAGAGAGCGATAAGGTCTCCCCTCAGCCTCCTCTTCTCCAGCCTGAACACCCCCAGTTCCCTCAGCCACTCCTTTCATGTTATTTTGCCTCTGTTTCCTCACCTGGGATGTTTATGTGTTATGAGAATATCTAATGCGCTATGTTCCATGACAGTTCAAGTGCATTGAGACTTAAGAGGAGAGAGACTTCCATACAAAGGGAAATACTTCACAAATAGTTGTTGCTGTTATTTATTATTTACAGCTTAATGAAAGGTAACTCCAGAGTGTATTTTATCAAGTTATACCATGCTCCCAGGAATTCAATGAGTGCCTGTCATGTGCTTCCAAAGGCACAATTTGTCCTTTAGACAGCTGAAAATTTCATGAGGCCAACAGGAGTGTGGCTGTCTCCCAAAACAGCTAATCACAGTAATGGAAGTGCCATCAGCCCCAAGCGCTCATGAATTTCCCTAGAGTTTCTTTCCAGGTAGGTGTTTCCTTTCATCAGCATCTACCTTTCATTTCGGCGTCCGTGAAACGTTCATTCAATATTGATGCTGCCGCCAGGCTCCCGAGAACGGCAGCCCCTCGGTGCATCGCTTACTTCTCGCCTCGGCACAGCAGGTTTACGGGCTGGTGTATTTGGGAAGCAGCTTTGTTTTCTGCTCGACTGACATTTACCGCCGTTGTTAAAAGGGGGAACTTCTCATCTCTAGTTTACCCACAGAACACGTTGATGTAAACTACGGAGCGCCCTGCTCGTTTAATGGACACGGTTATTGTGCGTTCATTAAGGGCCGTTAATGAAATGATCGCTCCTGAAGCGGAACCGGGCCCTGCTGTAGGTTGTGTGTAAATATATTGTGCAACTTACTGGCTCTTACTGGGCAGTCACGATTGATTTGGAAGCTATGACTTTGATAGGTACCTAATTGTATTAAACTACTTTGAGAAGCATTTCTTTAGGAAACACTTTAGCATAATGTCATTAGCAGGGATTCTGCCCATGATTTTCCCTTTTTTTTTTTTTCCTTTTTTTTTTTTTTTTTTTTTTTTTTTTTTTGGTCAGAGCAGTTAGGCTTAAAACACAAATTAAATAATGACCGATTTCTTCAAGGGTATTTGTTAGATCTGAAATCTGGAAGTGTCCCCTGGGCCGTGGTTCTCAGCGATACCGAGGTGCCCGTGTCTCGCTTCCTTCAGCGCGCTTAAATAACTTAAGTCTTAGGGACTCTAAAATCTTCTGTGCCTTCACACTAAGCTTGTATAAACTCCTCTTCCGGTATTACGTTTAATATAATTCAAACTTCTGAATGTGTCCTAGGATATTCTTTATGCGTAAAGCAGGAAAAAAGGTAAATGAGCAGGAGTTGCTCAGACTTTGCCTGTGACAAGGAGTGTATTTTCACGCCCTTGCGTATCGCTGGGGACTTCTCTATAAAGCGCCCCAGCCTGTGGCTATTGCTGTGGCTTTTTTCCCTCTTCTGAGGTGGCCGAGCCCTGTGCAGTTGTACGAAAAGCATTTCAAAATTCAGCAACCGAAGAAATGCCGATTTAACCTCCCGGCCCCCATTGCCCCGGCTGCTCCCCGAGCGTCCCCAGCGGCTGCCTCCGCCGTCGCACTCCTCACCAGGGCTGACGGTGGCTCTGGCAGCAGGGTCATCCTCCCTTTCATCTCACTGCTCTTTCTGAAGAGAAGGCTCGGTAGCCATCAGACTGGCAGAGACACGGAACTTCTGAGCGGCAAAGGTGTGCGCTGGATGCCTTGTATTCGTTGCTGTGTCGTAAAGACGGATATTTGGATCCTGCTTGCGGGA